CCGCTATAATCGAGTCCATACCACATTTCGTCAATTTTTGCTTATACAAAATGGGTATTTTCTAGGACGGTACTCTTTAAGGGTGTGACGTTTGTAAACGACACGATCTCAGTCTAACAAGGGTAGGTGATGTCGTCTTCTGTTCATCTATCTTTCGCCGCTGCGCAGTAGTGTTAATACTAACATATTTTTTTCACTTTCGCAACATTTACAAATCCATTTATGATACTTCCGTAACTTTCTGCTAACAGTATTATTGAAATAAATCTCAAATTCACGAGGAAACCTTTTAAAGACAAGGTTCGGTATGACCAATGCCATTATCCGCTCAGTGTATTCCACCGTTGACTTTGTTTTTACACCTAACATGCAAACACGTTTGAAAATAGTAAACACTCGTGCGCACAAATGTAACACTTGGAAACTTAATATATTTGAAGAAATGATGGCAAGTACCTGGCACCTGAGTATTTAACATTCTGGTCTTGCTCGGGCTCTTGGTTATTATTGGCCGTCTTTTATCCAGAACTGTGTTACGATACACACCAATATCCTTTACGCTGAAGAGGACGTCAGGTCTTTAGAACAGACGATTAATGCTGCACTTAAAAATTTACAAGACAGGCCAACGACGACAAGATTGAGTCTGATTATAAAAAAATCAGATCTTGTAATTATTCTGACTTCACAAAATAAAATCCTTTATTTTCCGATCCACAAATAAGTATATTTGATTGTGAAACAAACAGAAGAGTCACTTTAGAGCATGAGAGCCACATAGGATATTTAGGTGTTATGATTAGTGAAAATCTCTCTTGGAAAAACCACCACGTTGACTACCTTATCGCTAAAATAAGTAACACCACAGGAATGATTGCTGAGCTGTGATACTCTGTTACATCATCTGTAGTCATTAATTTCTACAAATCCTTAATGTGACCTTATACAACTTATAGACTCACTGCTTAGAAAAATGCCTCTAATGAATATTCTAGCAAAGTTGTTGTCATCCAAAAGCGAGTATAACGTTTAATCTACTTTAACGATTAATCTATAGAAAAGAGCATGCTACCATTTTTGTAAATGCAAAAAGTCTACCTATTACCTTCTTATATTATGAAGTTCTACGGACAATATTGCTCGATGTTTATAACGACGAGAGATTTGTGGTAACGGAATAAACAACTCCACGTCATGTAAAAAAAAAAGTACAATTCACTTTAGTTCCTCAACGGCATAAACGACGTAGGTTGAAAGTAAAACAACAAACAATTACAAAAGTTGCAGTATACGATATAAAGAAATGACATACATCAGAAGACTATCAAACAGTTACATTGTTACGGCCACAGAAAGGACCAAGATTGATTATGGTATTGCGAAACTGCTAAGGCAAAAAATAAACAAAAGGAAAAGTACGAGTGAAAACTGCGGCTCGTTACCGAACTGCGCTTAAAGTAAAAAACGGGAAAACAGGCGTATTAATGCTAAATATACATAGATAAATTATGCGAAGTAGCAACAAGGCCGCAATAAAACGACAAAACAGCGTCAATGAAACAATAAGTATAAACGTTCGCTAGTTACGGAGTGATAAGACTTTCAATAAACTTTAAACACGCAAAGAATCCAACACGAAAAAATGCTGCACTTAGAATTTACAAACATCATCAAAGTTTTTATGAGAACGTTGAACATCCAGACCTTTACTACTCGCTCATTAATGTCAAAACTCTTCAAAGTTAAGTACTCTAGGATTAAACCACAATGAAAGGACTTTTCGTGTGTTCGTGTTAAAATCTGGAATAAGATACCTGATGGCAAAGAAATCTTTCAAAAAAGGAATATTTTGTATGTTAAATATGCGAAACAAAATAAAGTGTTAAGTTTGCTAAGTGTATTTTTACGGCTCATGTCTAAGACATCTTCGATTCCCATTCCACATAACGTTTCTAGCCGCTCGTTCAAATCGAACTGACTCGCATTCGAGACGCATAGTGATGTTAGGAGATAATTATGCGAGCAATAAGCCAGTGTTTGTAAATTTCCTTGTTCCTATTGTCTTTCTCTTCAAAATCGCTTCAGTCACTTATTGCTGCAGTGACCTATGACTGACTGCATGGAGAAACATTCCGCTATTGTCGTCTACTTGGANAGACGTACAAGATTATTTTCGGACACTGTGACATAGATCCTCATATATTTTTTTGATTTTAATGTATTGGCGAAAACGCATAGGAACCATAATTGTAAGATAAGACTTAAAGAGACACGTACAAATTACTTTAAATTTTCATTTTTCAATCGCTACCGGCATAACAGACTGGAAAATTATTCCACCAAACATTATGTATGCACGTTCGTTAAGCAGTTTTAAGTCCTATCCATTATGCATTAGATCATTTGAGTTAATTTGAAATCAGGTGAAACTCGCGAGTGATCAGTATCCAATTTAATTAGCTTAACTTTGGGCCTCTTTTAAATTGTACTTCTTAATTTTTAGTGTCAATTATAGTATGCAATTTAATTTGGTTAGTTTTCAGCCGCATTTAAATTTTACTAATTAAATTTTAGTACGCTTAATTTTGGAGAATATTCTTTGTAGGGGAATTTAGTCTCCCCCAATTATTCTCCAGTCATGCACTCTTTGTATTTTCTGTAATTTAATTTACCTGTATGACAATGGATTATTAAATTTAAACCTTTAAATAATACAATGCGGAATTATTTTTTCTTTTTGTTTCGAATCTCCGATACAAACGTGGACCTATCCTACCTACACGATATATTTTCGTAATAGAAGTCGATAGCTTCCCACAAGTGTTCCGAACCAGATAAAGTCTAATCTGCGTTTAAACTCCACTGCATTGCCAGCCTCATTTCGACATAGAAGTAGCACTCCGGTTTGTAAGGTGTCCTGTATGGGCAGTGTAACCAAGATATCGACAGCTTTACCTGGTACACAGCAGTGTGCTACAAAAATGCGGACTGGCCTCCACACATGAAACAAGGAGTGCATTCACGTAAGTGTTTAGGGGATATGTTAGTCTCCCCGTTTACCTTAAGTGAGACCTGATTGTGAACTCAATCATTAAGTACAATATATTACACTTTATTACG